ACTATTCAAGCGCAACTGATAAGTTTCTTGTGGTTTTTATCAAGACACATGCAATGTGCAAAAGAATGCAGAATCATGCATTCCGGTGAATACTTACCGTACATAGTGGCAATGTGCTGAGCGATATTCGCATCTGCCAAAACACTACCATAGTTGTTTTGAGGTGAACGATTGTGGGATGGTGGTGATGCTGTTTGTAGGGTGATGGGATGTGAATTTGTTTGAGATGGCAAGAAAGCAACAGCTGGGCTGGTTCGAGCGAAATCAGCAGGTAACGACGATGGTGATGATGGAACAACAGTAGCCGTAGGACCGATAAGTTTCGGCCACCAGGTTGTCATGCTGAATGTGATGAATTCAAAAGATGACAGAGAGGTCTTGCTAAGAATATCAGTGCCCAACTGAATCTCTTGATGCTTCCAAGTTGATTTCAGTACCTAATCTAGTTACACGGGACTTCAGATTGTCGTCGAAAACTATCACACCACTCGATACGAAATGTGAGACGTCACAGAATCGGATAGCAGTTCTAGGAATAGCAATGATTCTGCAATCAGAAGTACGACAAGTGGCAGTGAATATCAAACAGTGGCAGGCATCTGTTGGTGTGTGTTGGCTTCACTGACTCACTCTCACAAATCAAGTTGAAACAACACAAAGAAGCAGCAGCTTCATCGTCCTTCTCACTAGAGGCGTGGCTGTGGCATTGCATGAGATCGTGCATGATTGGTCAACAACGAGGAACTGCGGATATAGTATCCAAGTGTGATTAGTTTGTTGCGTAATGCGTTGTGTGCATCACATATATCTATCTATATTCTATCTCTATCTGCCTTCTGCATATAATAACGCCTAATAGGATTAATGTGCAGTCGTTGACGACCGTCCCAATGAAATTGTTGCTGCACTCTCGAAACACTATTCACCGTTGTTTCACAGTTGTAGTCACTGCAAAAGTTCAAAAGTTCATTCGGCAAAAAAAACAACTGAAATTTGTTCATTCAACGAAAAAAAGCGTGCCATCTCGTTGCGACACTGTTCAGTCACTGTGGATAAATTGCTTTAGAAATGTGCTTGTGTAAAATACTTTCAGAGCAGAGCTAACGGCACTAACGGACTTGTCGAGAGAGCACTAGCTTTGGGCTTTATTGAGAAGTGTTGCTTTTCGGTTGTTTGCATCGTGTTCTTGTGTTCAAAAACAAAAAGACTAAGCACTAGCGCGATACGAGTGTTCTTTTGATCGACATTTTATTTATGTTGTTCACTCGCCAATTGCTGTCGAAATTTGTCATGTTCAATGTTCAATCATTCGGTAAAAGATTCCTCCAATTTCCATGGATTATTTCGTCTGTTGAATATTTTTTCACTAAATCATTTTCCACTATGCATATCGAGAGTTTCTATGAAACGTAGGAAACCATCACTGAAAGAGACTGGATGGTAGTAGCTAACTCGATTCTGAGATGAAAGTCAGAAAAAGAGTACCCAATTTTCCAAATGTCCGAAAGTTTAATGCATTGAGGTAGTCTTTTTTTTGCAGATGTCTTGGAATATATCAGTTGATTCATCATTGATAGTATGAAATTATTTCACAGCAAGCGCAAATCACTTCCAGTCAAATTGTTCAGCAAATCCACGCGCATATGAATGGTGGCACTCAGATGAAACGCGTTAATGTATTTGATTGATTGTGAATACGCAATAATCACATCATCATTCATTATCATCAATTATTCTGACCTTTTGCCACCTTTCTCTGCACTGCTCCAATCCAATTCCAGCTAATCGTTTCGTTCGTTTGCTTAAGGTTTTACTGTAACCAACGATATCTTT